AAGTTTAGTACTATGTATTGATATTAACCTATATAAGTTTAGTGCCATGTATTGACATTAACCTATATAAGTTTAGTACTATGTATTGATATTAACCTATATAAGTTTAGTGCCATGTATTGACATTAACCTATATAAGTTTAGTACTATGTATTGATATTAACCTATATAAGTTTAGTACTATGTATTGATTTTAACCTATCTAAGTTTAGTGCCAAGTATTGACATTAGCCTATCTAAGTTTAGTGCCAAGTATTGACATTAGCCTATCTAAGTTTAGTGCCATGTATTGACATTAACCTATCTAAGTTTAGTATTGTGTATTGATATGAATCTATCTAAGTTTAGTATTGTGTATTGATATGAACCTATCTAAGCTCAATACTATGTATTGATATGAACCTATCTAAGTTTAATATTATGTATTGATATGAACCCATCTAAACTCAGTATTATGTATTGACATTAACCTATATAAGTTTAGTACTATGTATTGGTATGAACCTATCTAAGTTTAGTATTGTGTATTGGTATGAACCTATCTAACTTTAGTATTGTGTATTGGTATGAATTTAATCTTTATTATTATTATTGTCCTTTTGAAAACCTGATTCCGCATGTCTGTTCTTATCACAGTCCTCTCTCAAAGGAGCAACAGTACCTTACCGTCCAAAGTCAACAATACCATCGGTCATATTTGCTGATGGTCAAGCCTATACCATTCAAGGGCAATATGCTATTCCACACCCTGATGTTAGTATATGCTTTGCGATAATTCTATTTTTCTGATTTGGTCTTTTTTATATTATGTTTGTGTGTACAATATGTGTGTGTGGTTTAGTATCAACGCTTGACGTGTGAAAAGTAGAATTCTGAAGTGCTTGTTTTATTTTATAAAAATTGTAGGTCATTTTCAAATTAGCTAATTTATGAGGAATTTATAAAAGAAAGTGACTTATTGCCCAGATTTTTAAGTGTTATTTCTTCGGTTCTTCTTAACCACTACCTTGTTATCCTAAACTGTATAAGTTTATCCAATTTTAACAGTTTATAAGAATATGACTTTATTTTTTACTTCAGGATCTAAATTCAACGGCTTAGTAAAACCCGGGCTTCAATTTAGATTTGATGGACTTAAATATTTTCCTAACATTTACATGCTGTAATCCTGCCCAGTACCTATACCTGAACCTTAGCATGTAAAAACTTTTAGATACACCATTTCCTGAATTGTGAATTTCAGAATTAAAAAACAAACTACATCTCTTTTAATCCCGTCTTTAGCGTGATAAAGTTGTGAAAAACGACATCTTTATGGTGCCTCTTTACGTCCTTAAGCCTTAATCTTAAGGATTCGTAGCTCATATATTTAGACCTATTACCACCTTCCCTCTTCCCAGAAAAAAATGGCAACTATAACGTTTAACTGGTCTTCTAGCTTACGAACCTTAAGAATAGTGACTTGCGTATTACGTAATAAATATAACTGGCATTCTTTATTTTTGCATTTGACACCGTATTATATAAGATCAATTAAAATCAAGTTACTTCTGCATACAGTGGTGCCCTTTGGTGGAAAATATTGGCATTAAAAATAAATCTGTAACTTCGAGATACGACCAGGGGTCTTGCACGCAATATATATTTTAATTGAGACTGAAATTACAACTATATTTGTGGCTAATACAAATATATTCTACATCATGCTAAATTTCCCCCCCCCCTCTCTTTCTCCACCAGTTTAGACGTTAAAAAAACTAATGAATTAAAATAATATATCTTATCATATACGTGCCAGTTATGATAAACTGTATCTATTCCATTAAACAGGGATTTCCAACACGTTTTCTGTTCTTCACTAAACCTTAGACCAATATTAAAACGCATTTTAAGACCCAGACTAGCTCTGGTTACAGCTTTTGCCTTTATTTTAACAACTAAGGTCTATCATTTATCGTCAAGTACCTATATGATTTATAACTAGTTACAATATTTCTTTCCTGAACTGCAGCTGATCAAACTCCACCATTTAGCTGCTGTACAGAATGCACCAATGTTGTCTTGTCATACCTTTGGGCCCCAGTCTGCTCATGGTAAGCCCTCGTCGAAATATATATATATCTTTATATGTGAATTCATCATTATCATAACCACCTATATTAACGCGTTTTATGCATTTCATATATGCTCTACCTATAGATTTCAGATTTTAGTCACAACAAAGCTCTTGAATGAAACCCAGAAAATATAACTGTAAAAACTAACTGCCTTTTTACTCACACATATTTATCGCTTGTGTAATAAGTATATCAGTCAATAGTAAATGTAACACGAATATGTTCGTTTGCTGTTAAGCACAAAGCTACACAATGGGCGATTTTGTTGTGCCCACCACGGGTATGGAACCCCGTTTTTTTAATGTCACAAATCCAAAGACTTACCTCTCAGCTACTAGAGGACTGTTCTTTCCACTCTTTGAGAAAAGTTGATACAAATAAATATTTAATCTTATTATGAGTATTTTTACTAAGATTTTTTATTGTATTTCTTATTGATTCGTGTATTGGATGAAAATGAATTTATTTTGCAGCTACGTCAGCACGTTATTTATAAACTGTATGTTCCAATCAGATTAATCTTTAACTAATATTGAATGCTATTATTGTGCAGTAACATAACTTAAACTGATTTTATTTATTCAGTTTTTGGAGATGATATCAATATGATCATTGTATCACAAATATTAAGTAACTGAAAGCTAAAGCGGAAAAGGTTGTTTTTAATCTAACTGTAATATATATAACAAGTAGACAAACTTTTAACACATCAAGTAAATGTATAATAAATATATTATTATCATTATTATTATGCTGACGTTATGAAGGTGATATATTATTATTATTATGCTGACCTTATGAAGGTGATATATTATTATTATTTCGCTTAAAGAAATATATCTACAGCCAGTGATTAATATCGTTTCGCTTAAAGAAATATATCTACAACCAGTGATTCATATGGTTTCGCTTAAAGAAATATATCTACAACCAGTAATTTATGTGGTTTCGCTTAAAGAAATGTGTCCACAACCAGTGATTGATGTGGTTTCGCTTAAAGAAATGTGTCTACAATCACTTATTTATATGGTTTCGCCTAAAGGAAAATGTCTACATCTAGTGATTTGCAAACAACCATAAACACCGAAAATATTCAAGTATGAGCTGCTGAATGGATATTTTAAAACCAGTGACAACATAATTCCCATTATGGTTTTGTACAAATAAAAGATAATTAATATAATTTTAATTATTTAACAGA